GTGTGTGCGTGTGTGTGTAGTGTATATGTGTTTGGCTATCTGTGGCATTGTGTGTTTATTGTTTATAGATGTGTATACATATATATATGGCCTTTTGTGACTTTGTGTTTATTATTAAATATATATATATATATATATATATGTATGTATGTATATATATATATATATGTATGTGTATATATATATATATATGTATTTATTAGTATATATATATATATGTATGTATATATATATGTGTGTGTGTGTGAGAGAGAGTATGTGTGTGTGTATGGATATGTATATATAGAAAAGCATATATATATATGTGTTTGTGTGTGTGTGTGTGTTTATATGTATATATGTTTGTAAATATATATATATATATTTGTGTATGTGTGTGTGTTTGTTTTGTATGTTTATATATATATATATGTGTGTGTGTGTGTGTGTATATATATATATGTATATATGTATATATATATGTGTGTGTATGTGTATGTTTTGTCATTTTTCTTGCATTATATTGTTGAGAACCATGTTTGGTGGTTTTGAATTTGTACTCATAAACAGTTTGACATTGTTAACTGTGTTCAGGTATACACAGCTGACCATATTTCTATGTCTATATATACAACCATGTATTGTCTGAGCGCGGCGGAGCATGGCTGGTCCATCGTGTATGTTTCAGTATTCGCCTGCTTATAGTATGTGAAGTGCGTACTGGAATACTGTATCAACCTCTCTAATAACCTACTATACGATCAGTTCCCCTGGCTCATACGTAGCTTTATGATTTCTCTGAACTACCGCGTAACAACCAGATGTGTACATTAAGCTCAACGTACCCCATTCATTCCCAGTCCCTCGCTTGTGTTTTGCGGGTTAGTTCCTTACCCTTTGCCATGGTAGCCCGGGTTTCACTTGCGTATACGGTTGAATAGCTTGTATTCAACCCGAGTGATAGATACCCTTGTTCACTAGAGAGACGGGGTGTCATCTTGCATCTGTACCTGTGCCGCCGTTTCGCACACAGTCCTCAATTGCGCAACTCGGGCGCACCTGAGAGCTTTACGGATCGAAATCAAACACGTACTCGCCACACATACCGAGTTGCCCTTTCGTTAACGCACATCGAAACATCGGAACATCGAATTGGCGTTTCCAGATAGACCTGAACTTGTTCACCCATCGGGCTGATGTTATATTCCAACGCGCTCATTTGATCAGAGAATCAACTCACATGTGCGCACCAAGGGCAAGATGCCCTATGTGATCAACTTGGATCCTGCGGTCAAGAATCTGGGCTACGCACCCAACATCGATATCAGAGACACCATCAACTACAAAGAGGTTATGAAGCAGTACCAACTGGGTCCTAACGGTGGTATCTTGACTTCGCTGAACTTGTTCGCCACCCGGTTTGAGAAGGTAATTTACTTTAGTGAGTAGGACCTGTGTGCTCGGCTTGGGAAGGTAGTTTAGTTTAGTGAGTAGGACCTGTGTGCTCCGCTTGTATTGGTACTTACTACTGTTGTGGGCTAGAGAGTCTACTGACGGAATCTTTGGTAAGAGAATCAATTCGGCTTGAGAAGGTAATTTAGTTTAGTGAGTAGGACCTGTGTGCTCGGCTTGTGTTGGAACTTACTACTTTGCGGCCTATAGAGACTACTGATGGAATCTTGGTAAGAGAATCAATTTGGCTTGAGAAGGTAATTTAGGTTAGTGAGTAGGACCTGTGTGCTCGGCTTGTGTTGGAACTTACTACTTTTGTGGGCTATAAAGTCTACTGGCGGAATCTTTGGTAATAGAATCAATTAGGTTTGAGACGAGTAGGACCTGTGTGCTAGGCTTGTGTTGGTACGTACTACTTTTGCGGGTTAGAGTCTACTGGTGGAGTCCTGGGTAGTCCCATCGCCCTGGGCACCCAATCCTGTGGGTCTCCTGATAGTTCTTACACGGGCGTTTCATCTGTACGTGATGGTATTAGCAGAGTGACCGCAAATCAAACCTATCAATACTCGTTGCCCTTGGTGACAGACTTATCTGTAACCATTCCGCTTCGTCCCCTTTTTGCCTAGGTACGCGAATGTGTGGCCATTCTCATACTTGTGCATCTGAAGATATTAACCCTCTGCCGGGGCAAGCATTGGCAAACGGCCCCTCTACCGTCCCCATTCCGAGCCAATCTTAACTACCGTTCCCACATTTACTGCAATCCTCACCCATTCCCCAGGTGCTAGAAATCATAGACAAGCGCGCGACTCAGGTCGACTACACCTTTGTCGACACCCCCGGGCAGATAGAAATCTTCACGTGGTCAGCCAGTGGTGCGGTGATCACCGAGTCGTTGGCGTCTACCTTCCCCACCGTGGTGGTGTATGTCATAGACACTCCGCGGTGCGTTAGCCCCATCACGTTCGTCAGTAACATGCTGTATGCGTGCAGCATCATGTATAAGACGCGACTGCCGATGGTGTGTGGGCTGTAGTGCGTATACGTTAGGCGTGATTTCGTTTTGGTGGTTAAAGTATAGTGTGTCCTAGTTTTTGTTTGATCATATTCCTACGCATGCAGTACTGTGTTCAATCCGCGGGTATCCATGGTATGCGGGCTGATCGATGTGTGTGTAAACTAGCTGATCGAGGCTCTTATCCTGACGTTGAATGGCGTGCCACTGGTTGCGGTAGTGCATAACGTATTGTATGCGTTTGCCTGTAAGGCAGGCGTGGCCTTGGAGCCTCCTGGAAACACCTCCTGACTGTTAAGCACCCTGGTATCAAAGCGTTCGAACATCTCACGAGGCGAGGGGCAGGGTCTGTTGCAGGAGTTAGTTCTATGAGCTGGGCCAGAATGGCCAGTATGATATATCTCTCGCTACAAAAGTCACGCTCAGCAGACACTTTGTACCGCACGTTTTTTTAAGGTAATACTCTCTACCTCCGAGTATTTAAATATGTAAATGCCTTCCACACCGGACCGGTCCTGTCCCGATTTCTACAGGTGATCGCGCTGAACAAAGCCGATGTGGTAGACACTGAGTTCGTTGAAGAGTGGATGACCGACTTTGACGCTCTGCAGGATGCGCTGGCACAGGACGACTCGTACATGTCCTCGCTCTCGCGGTCGATGGGGATGGTGTTGGAAGAGTTCTATAATCATATGCAGGTAGGTGTCTGCGTAGCGTGCATACGTTTGGGTTTCTGGCGCCAGTGCTTGTGTATGCTCTGAGTGGCCTGGGTGTACATGCCGAGGTGCTAGACAGGTAGCTGTGTGTCCGAAGAGCTATCTTGGACAACCCCTTCACTGTGTTCAATTGCCCGGTGTCAGTGTAGGCAGAGTGTCTGAGTGTCTGTACATATACTTGTGTTTCGTCATGGTCATTTCCCCATATAAATTGTATCTCTCCGCCGGTAATAGTGAGGATGGAGATGCATGAAGTGTTTTGTTCTGGTGCCTACCTGTAGTATTATTTGTTCATTTTATGAAGAAGAAGAAAAATTGAGGATTATATTGGAGTGGGACGTGCCTCTTTGCCCTGGTGGTTTCCGTAGCATTATGTTTATTGCGATGTCCGCATCCGAACTCTGCGCACATCATGCGCCACTGCATCTCAATGTGTAGTGTCTGCCAAATATCTAACTACACTCCCGATTATACATTATCAATGGCAAGACATTCGTTCGATTCGATCGAAACAACTCTCATTGCTTTGATCAAGCTGCTGTATATATCCGATACAGCAGTTGCATATACACATACAGCAGTTGCATTACACATACAGCAGTTGCATATACACATACAGCAGTTGCATATACACATACAGCAGTTTCATATACACATACAGCAATTGCATACACACATACAGCAGTTGCATACACACATACAGCAGTTGCATATACACATACAGCAGTTGCAACTACACATACAGCAGTTGCATATACATATACAGCAGTTGCATACACACATACGGCAGTTGCATATTCACACATACCCTCTGTATGATCACATTTTATCGATGTACTCCCCTCCCACTCCCCGTATGTTTTACCGGTGCTCATCACGTTAATCGTTTCTCAGAGCGCCAGTGTATCGGCGGTGACAGGCCAAGGGATAGAGGAGTTCTTCACGGCCGTAGACGCAGCGGTAGAGGAATACGACACGTATGTAACTCAATCGCATACGTGCTGAATTGTGCTGTGTTGTGCGTAATCCGAACCGCGTGTAGGTAGATGGGATGCAGACGTACGTGGCACGAAGGGGTTAATTCATGCAGACGCCTTGTGGTGTCGCTGCATTGCTTGATGGCACTGCATGTGTGGTCGTCGTATTGCTCATATGTTCGTTTCTAAATCGCTATCGCATTGTTCTGGCTTCTCTCTCCTCGGATGATGCCGCGCATATATGGTCGTCATATTGCTCATATGCTTGTGTCTGAATCCCTATCACATTGCTCTGGCTTCTCTCTCCTTGATGCCACGCATATATGATCGTCATATTGCTCATATGTTTGTGTCTGAATCCCCATCGCATTTTTCTGGCTTCTCTCTCTTTGGTTGATGCCACGCATATATGGTCGTCATATTGCTAATATGTTTGTGTCTGAATCCCTATCACATTGCTCTGGCTTCTCTCTCCTTGGTTGATGCCACGCATATATGGTCGTCATATTGCTCAATATGTTTGTGTCTGAATCCCTATCACATTGCTCTGGCTTCTTTCGTCGCCTTCTCTCATCTCGATCTCCGGGGATTGAATGACGCGGTTGGCGCCATACAGTATATACAAACCCGAGTTAGAGAGGATAAAGAAAGAAAGGGTATGTCCGTCGGGTGTGTTACGATTATCAGTCCTAGTGCATCGTCTACGGTGGTATAGTACATGGTACTCGTATCGTCTACGGTGGTATAGTACATGGTACTGTGTGTACATGGACCTGACTTTATTTCAAATGCGGTACAACATAGACCACCAGATTATTTAGTCTGTCCACTGCCTCCCATTCGTGCCCAGGTAATCGTTGCGCATGATGTACCACTTCACGTGTTTGTTTGTGTTTGTTTTAGGCGTACGTGTATGGCTATTTGAACGATACAGTCACTCTGAGCACTTAAATTCTTCGTATACAGGAGGGTAAGCAACAACAGGAACGCGATGAACAAATGGAGAGGATCCAGCGAGATATGGGCAAGAACGGACAGGTCGGTGTGCGTCGTCATATTTCGGTGGCCAGAAGGATCGCGATACTTCTACTGTTAGCTCGCTTTTCTTATCTTTTTTTTTTGTTGTGAATGTTTTTATTGCCCATCTCTTAACTTCTTGGAGATATGTCTTTTTTTTATCAACCATATATCAAACACGACGCTGTTCACGGCACTATATATATACACAGACTTTGGAGGCGATGGCGATGGCTAAAAGGGAAGAGGAGGGATCGGAGGAATCGGGATCTGATGGTGAGTACTGGCGTAAACCCCACGTGGGTTTTTTTTCCCTTATTTCTCCTTGTGCGTATAGTCTTCCTTGGCTTTGTGTAGTATGATGTTGGTTCTATTGTTTGTAACTACCCTGTGGTGCTTTAGTGTAGTATGATGTTGGTTCTATTGTTTGTAACTACTCTGTGGTGCTTTAGTGTAGTATGATGTTGGTTCTATTGTTTGTAACTACCCTGTGGTGCTTTAGTGTAGTGTGATGTTGGTTCTATTATTTGTAACTACCCTGTGGTGCTTTAGTGTAGTATGATGTTGGTTCTATTGTTTGTAACTACCCTATGATGTTGGTTCTATTGTTTTTAACTACCCCGTGGTGCTGTAGTGCTGTGGTGGCCTGTATGTCTTGTATATGCGCAGCTCAGCCCAACACCGAACCTTTTTTTCTGATTGCTGGGGAGTGCAATTGAAATTGGTGCGCTTTTCTGCGAATTGAGACGCATCCTTGTCCGATGACTACCCTTGTTCAGTGTTATAATAACTTACTGTGTATAAAAGCATGCGTATATGATCTCCGAATTATGGCCAGTCATTGCCTTTCGGGAGCGTTTCAGAGTATCATTCACATACAAGGCCAGCAGTACCCAAGACTGTGTAATGTTATCTCCGGTTGGGTAAATAAGGGTAGCAAGACTGAATAATGCACCCCTAAGCGATATACATAAGCTCACTCCTGCATTGTATCTCAATTCCATCTGCATAGACGACGAACAGCGGGAGGTGGATGCCTTCGACCGTTTCATCACCACACAGAAGTGAATGCCCCCTACCAATGGGCAATAATCTAGTACAAATACCCGATCAATATATAAAATAGAACTTAAAGCAGCTCAAGTCTTGCCGTCAAACCTGAATTAGTCGCATGTGATAGTGATGTTGTACAGCTCTGAGCTGATTCTTTGTTTACCCACATACTGGATTCTTAGCATATCTACATATTGGTTTCTGTTCAGTATGATCATACGCAACCGCCCACCCTTGTACAGCTTCATTACGAGAAAGTGGTAATGCAAGCAATACAATTGACTCAAACTAATTTGTCAGCATAGAGTCATCCCGAGTTACATGCCCAACTGGCTTAGATGGTTCAAACGTGTAGAAAAAGATCCGCAATATCGTCCGTTCATATAAATATATATATAATATATCTATATATATATATATATATAATATATATATGTATGTATATATGTATATATGTAGATATACATATGTATATATATATATATATATATAGTGTGTGTGTGTGTGTGTGTGTTGTTGTAGTATATATATATAGTGTGTGTGTGTGTGTGTATATATATATATATATATATATAGTATATATATATATATATATATATATATATATATAAACATACATACATACATATATATATATACATATATATATACATATATATATATTCTTACATACATACATACATATATATATATATATATATATGCATATATGTATGTATGTATATATATATATACATATATATATATAGTCTGTTACGGCAATAACACGTACAGCAGGTGCTCCGGATTGATACAAGGAGCGGGTCTAATAAAATCGCGTACAATAATGGCCCTGCACTCTGACCTGATTGCTACTCGCTTCGAAACAAGGTATAAAGTACAAGTAAGTACCCGCCACACTCGCAGCTTCAAGACAGGAATAACAAGTTACAAAAATTGATCTCACCAGCAATGATAGCCGATGGGACAATGCCCCGGGGTATTCTAATTTTATCTTAATTACCGGTTTTCCATATATCGTCCTAGAGTAATCATTATATCGAGCTCCTCGCCAGACACTCGATGTGTTCTTGAAGGCAGCCACTTCAAGAAATCAATCTGGCCATCTGTCACGTATGGCACAGCTTATACTTAATTCGTGCTCTCGCATACCCTGTCATCAGGAGCAACATAACAGCAAAATACAAAAGGACGCTCTCAACCCGAGAAGCCTGTCAGGTGTACTCGCCGTTTCTGTGATACCATGCTACCACAATTATATTCATACGCACACACAGTCACTGGTAGTAAGCAATGCACGTACATGGCAGTGCAAAATGCGCTGCTGAACACTCCTGCTGCCTCTGAGCCCGTTGATGGACGCCCCAACAACTGTGCTGAACCTTGGCTGCGGTCGGGTCGGTCTATGCTCTGGTATCCATGTATATCCTCTCATATTCGCATGTCAAAGCCTATGTTCCTTATACTGACACTGTCCAATCCTGAGTGAAAAGTACCACTTTTTGTGAAGACTATACGAGCGCGCGTGTCTGCATATCGTCGTGTGAGCAGCTGACGGAATGTATAGCAAACTCGAACAGTGTCTGCGCCTTCTCAGCAAGCCAAGCAAGTTCCCTCGCGCCCCCAATCTCGCATGCTTCAGTGGCAACTATAATGTACTCACCAGCATACACTCTCACTCGCCACCGACATCTCTACAGCATACACATCAACACTAAACAAACCCCCCGCCCTAGCCCTAGCCCTAACCCTGACCCTAACTTTAAACCTAAGCGTATCTACATCAACCCGTTCATCTCCAGCTTCGTGAACTTGACTTTCTCAAACGCGTTGGACTGCTTGTGAATATCGTTATCCTGTCGATCGTCCCCTTCGCCACCCTTATCACCGCTCTCCCCGTCATCGCTGCTATCGTCGTCGTGGTGTGTGCGCTTCTTCGCCTGCACGCGGCTGTCCTTGCGCTCGCGTTTCTTATTGCGTGGATGGTCTTTGACCTTCTGCTCCTGTATCCGACGTTCCGTGTCTCGCACAAACACGTACGTTCGCGCGCCCTTCTCGATGTCGTGATTGCCCGCTTTGGACTTTCCCTCGTCGAATCCGATGGTACGCCGGTGTTCGTAGCCTGGCGGAGGAGAAGTGAATCACAAGTATAGATGTGTATGGTGAGTATACGCACAATAGACACCCTTCCGCCCACAAACAGTAACCTAGAACTTGTCGACGGGCGCGTGACCATAGACATCGCCGAGCATCACAGTCACTAGTGAGAATCGTGCCAATCATCCACTCACACACAAATGAAGCTTAAAACATGTTGGTGTAAGTGTAACCAGAGACTGCTCAGAGGAACAACATATATATACCGCTGTGTGATCAACTATGAAAGTGATCGCACTACGAGCTGGACAAATAAGGAAGGGCCGTCAAAACACACTGTTAATTAACTGGCAGCATAGGTGTTACCGTTAAGTATGTGGTAGTAGTAGTTGTATCAAGGCGTTACCGTTAAGTATGTGGTAGTAGTAGTTGTATCAAGGTGTTACCACTAAGTATGCGATAGTAGTAGTTGTATCAGATAAGCACACCTGGATATAGAGTGCAGTCGAACGGCTGGGAATTCTTGAGATACAAATCCGTTGCTCGTTCTGCCAGCTTTGCCACTCGCCATTGACTGTATGGTTCACCCAGCTTGATGGTGAGGTGTATCTCCCCCTTTTCGGATAGAACCTTATCTACAATTAATCAGGTAAATAAACGACACATGATTTAGATATAGAACGTGCTCGTATCAAACTCGATGAGTGATGATGTCTGCTCGAAGGAGACACAAGAGGTACTGGTCTGTGGCGGAAAGCTCAAGGATCTAGTTCTCCTCTAATGGTTTCGCGTGAAAATTAGTATGCATAGTTAGGTCGAGTGAGCTGTAGAAGTAGAATAATGCATCAAGCATGACAGCGAAGATCCCCTCCACAAGCTAATGCAAACTTCCGTCCAAACCGTGTGCAAGTCACTAACAAGGAATGCTAGGGACCGGGGGAGCGCAAATGCGGTACGGTACAACTCTACTCGTATAACCATTCCGCAGATGAACCTTAGAGATGCGCTTGCGGACTGCACCAGAAACTTGGATCTATTTTGAAAAGAAGAAGAAAACCGGCCAACTCGCATCATGCTTATCGAATACAAAGCCCACACTCGCGATCGACAGATAGCAATTGTGTACCCCGAGCGGCAGGCGTACAACATACACTGACCTAATACAAACACCACGGTGTGCACGCACCGTAGTTGTGGAGTATAAACGACAGCGATAGGTGCATGGCACGGACACTTACAGGCGCTTTCGAAGAAGTTAGTCAGCATCTCTTGGTTGGCCAGTATATTGCGTTCCGTGTTCTTTATTCCGGCACCTTTAAAATCAATTAGCAGACTAACGTGAGTGTGTCATAGACAGTATGCCTCCTTGTGACTCGGATTTGAGATAACAAGTGCGTGAAATGAATATTCACCGACGCTGCCGGGACCGCCCAACCGATCCTGAAGTCCGTTGTATATTGCGATAGTAAACACTGAGCCGCATAAATAAGCGATGATGCGTGCGATTGAAAGAGTGTACGTACCTGTGTGTGGGAAGTTGAAGACGATTGTATCGAATACCGCAGTCTCTTCGCCGGATCGCGCCAGTTTTTTCGCTTCGTGCAGCTTGGTAGCATCGATTCCGTGTTGTACTCTCGCGTTAGAATCGATCAACTATAGTGGATGTATGATAATGGCATTGAGATCTCAAGGACATGCATTGCAGCAGGGTCAGAGTACCTCACAGATTTCCGATCATGCAAATAACTTCAAATACTCTATATTGCTCATCGTATTACACATCTGCAATTGCGTACGACATCATTGATTAGACGGCGCTGTGTAGACTCATCCATGCTTATAAAAAGAGCATATTTGTCAGTCACGGGTGTAATGTTAAGAACGATCCCCTCAAATAAACGAGACACACCTGAAGCAAAGACTATCTGGTCCACCCACACAGCGTGCTACGATGGTACGAGCACGTTTAGACTGGATAGCACATACAATGAAGCTATGGATTCGAGGACTGAAGAGGAAATAATTGCGCATATTCCAAAAACCACATACTAACACACCTGTTGAATAAATCCATCGACTTCGTCACCATATTTTGTCTTCAAAACATCATATGTGTCGTATGTTGTGCAGGTAATTTTGTCGCCAACCTCGAACTTTTCCACTAACGCCCGCGAGAAACTGCAATTGCCCTCTCCTACTAGTAATATCTCGTCGTTCACATTGTACAGAAACCTTGAAACTTGGGCTGCACAGGTAGGGAAGAATATGCAAACAAACAAAAATGTTAAAAGATCGATATATACATCTACAAGTGAGAGTGTAACCAAGCAGCCCAGTGCTGCAGAACATCGTGAGACTAGATATACCTACAAATCTTAACAACACGAATACTGGTTTGTGCTAAAAATATATCGGATAATCACGCACACAGAAACTATGTATACGTCAAGAGTACATATGGGTATACAATTGAGTTGAATTTCAATAAGATATAAAGTTATACATACTAATAGGAATAAAAACATATCCAGATATCTATCAATATATACACATCAATATATACATATCAATTTGTACTTATATACGGCGTATAATATATATA